TCCCATAGATTTAGAGTTGGCTATTCCATTCCTTACTCTGTTTAATTACTCAGATAAAGTTTCAGGAGCACTGAGCAAACTTTTAAAAAGTCAGTGTATGGGAAGCACTTACCTTGAAAAAACAAACAGGGGCTTTTTAAGTGAGCAAAGCCTAGACAAGATAGGTGATAAAGTCACTGCAAAGGCACCTATCTCCTGGGCTGCACCAGGAAAGTGCCAGTGTTTACAGAGTTAGAGATTTAAAAGAAGGACCATAAATGTGGCCCCTATTTTCAGAAAGTCCCTTGTTTAGAGTATCTTTCTTGGTGTCATTTCTAGGACTCTCCTAAGTAAGTATGCCTACCTCAGGGGATGCCCAAGTTATCCATAGATAAAAGACAGAAAAATTATCTCTATGTAAATATGCATATATATGTGAATATATATTATATGCACACATATTCTATTAAACCAAAGAAATATATATAAAGTTCCCTCGGACTTTCACTGGTAGATTGATGCTGGAGTCTTTCCCTGACACATGGCAGATGGTTTTGTGCCATGTGAAGTAAGAAAAGGCTCCTCAGGGAAAGCAGTAAGAAATATATATAAAGTTCCCTCGGACTTTCACTGGTAGATTGATGCTGGAGTCTTTCTCTGACACATGGCAGATGGTTTTGTGCCATGTGAAGTAAGAAAAGGCTCCTCAGGGAAAGCAGGAGAGCCACAATTCAGAGAGGATGACTGTGGCTTATTTGTTCATTGCTTTCAGCATATTTCAAATTATTGCTCTTTTCATACGCCCAGTTTTAACTAAACTAACCTTCACAAAAAGATACAGTGGCTTAAAAGTTTCCTGCAAAAAAACTGCAGTTTGAAGATAACACTAATCATGAAAGTACAAGAAAACTTCGAACTCTGTCAGGTCACTTCATGGAGTAAGGAAAAAAAAAACCCAATCTAATCAGATCTATCAAGAAATCAGGCAAAAATAATTGGAAATCATCAGAAGACTATTTGAAATATGGAACCACAACTTCTAATAAAAAAAGCTAAACTTTACCCAAAGGGTATATTGAGTTTCAAAATTTTTAGCCAGTAATAAAACATTTTTATAACATAAAATAATAAATATGCATATGTAGGGGGTTGCAAGTTCAAAAATATTTCATTGAAAGAGTGTGTAATTTTAAAATTTTGCAGACTACTGGCCTATTGTTTCTAATTAATTGTAGAAAACTTGGAAATGCAAGAAAGCATCAAAAACAAGGAAAAAATCACCTATCTTATTATCATCACAAAATAAACATTNAAAAAAAAACCCAATCTAATCAGATCTATCAAGAAATCAGGCAAAAATAATTGGAAATCATCAGAAGACTATTTGAAATATGGAACCACAACTTCTAATAAAAAAAGCTAAACTTTACCCAAAGGGTATATTGAGTTTCAAAATTTTTAGCCAGTAATAAAACATTTTTATAACATAAAATAATAAATATGCATATGTAGGGGGTTGCAAGTTCAAAAATATTTCATTGAAAGAGTGTGTAATTTTAAAATTTTGCAGACTACTGGCCTATTGTTTCTAATTAATTGTAGAAAACTTGGAAATGCAAGAAAGCATCAAAAACAAGGAAAAAATCACCTATCTTATTATCATCACAAAATAAACATTATTAGAATTTTGTGAAGTGTCTCTTCTATCAAAACCAGTTCATATAAATGTCTTTCATAGAGGCAGGCTGAACCTTCAGGAAAAAAACTTCATAGAACATCATGTTCCATCATAGGTCACTTTATCTAGTCTCTAGAAAGTCCAAGAAGATATGTCAGGAATGCAACTGCAGTCCTGTTTTTGAACATCTGTCCAACAAATCTGGGATAAGTTTCACTTTAAGTGGAAATGCCCTATGATCTCATTCCAGGTTATAATGTGGGAGCCATATACACCGTTATTATTCAGTAAAAGGAGACCAGTGCAGCAACTCACGTGCTATCCTAATTTTTAAATTAATGAGCTCGTCTCAGTCATCAGTGATATGGTTAAGGAGCCACACTTAGATTCCCTAGATGTCAGGGTAGCAGGCCTGCTCTGGTTCTCAGTAATCCCCAGGAATTCAGAATATGTTCATCAAATGCCTTCCTTTAGGAAAGGAACCACAGCTGTAGGTTCTGCAATCACATATCCTGCACTGGCTTATGTCAGCTTTGACACACCTCTCATTTCAGAAACCATTCTTAGTTTCACACTCTGAAGCTTTTCGAGAATTTTGCTCTTCATCTCCACAGTGAAACATAGTTGGTATTTGAAATATCATCACCCTCAAAAATAACTTCTGACAATCTGACTTGAAGCAGAGTATTTCCACAGGTTTGGAGGATTTCCATTTCTAAGATAATACGCATTTTCCCCAAATTTTGAACCTCCCACAAAATGGGGAACAAGATCTTTCTAAAACCTGGATGTCACAGCCTACACCAAAGAATGCAGAATCAAGTCAATATTTTTATCTCCCTTGTTTTAGTAGGCCCTCACATCATTCCCCCACTTTTGTTCTATTACATACCAAGTTGTCCAAGTTGTTATGCAGTATTTGGGGAGGGAAGGGAATTTTTAATTGTTAGTCCTGCAATTAAAATATATAGTTCCTCCACTCCAATATTTAAATAGAGTCCAATTTTAAAGTATTTGAGTTACACACATATTTTTTAAAGGATATTTTCTGCACATGCTTTGGATTGTTTTTCAGGAGCAGAACTGGATTTACCCAGATCACTACAGGCAAATACACCCTACTGATGCCCCCAGCTGATGACAGGGGTGCAGTCCATGTCAAAGTGAAGTTACCTGACCCATTCTAGAACTAAACCAGCAACTCTAACCTCTCAACCACAGCCATCTAATCAAATAATCTGAACTCTCGGATTGTTTACTCCCCCTTAAGCATTTTTTTAATATGGACCTGGAATGACAGGAGAGTAAGGAAAGAAAACAACAGCAAAATCACCACACCAGCTAACATCATTTCCCCTTGTATATATTTACTCCTGGTAGGCAAAATGGAGCTAAGGAAGAACTGTGAGAGTGCCTGGGGCCTACACTTTAACGCAACTATTGACTTTTGTGAGTCTCACTCCCAGTTACTAAAGACTGATGACTCACACCCTTTCTCTCTCCTCCCTCTATTACTTTTGTCATCCCATGTTTATGAAGTTCACCACATTTATTCTTCACTGCATGTCAATATCTTTATTTTACCACTGGCATTTTAATTGTTCATTCAAAATATGTTTTAATACTTGCCACCTGAAATCCTTTTGAGTTTAGATTCAAAATAAATGAAATATATGGCATCAGTTGGAAGGCTATTTAGATCTAGATTTAAAGACTGATCTTTCCCTTTGTTCCAGAAACTGTCCAGGAAGAACCTTTTAGAACAAGAAATCCTTAAGCAACAAATTACAAGGGCTCCCAGGGAGGCAGGTGTGCTTATGAGAAGAGAAAGATCATAAAAAAGTAAGCAATAGGAAGATGATTACCTTTAAGATTGCTTTTCTTTTACATTTCAGATTCTCAATATAAACATTTTTGGTCCTAGGACTGAAGAAGAGGGCAGCTGTTGCCAAGACAGTCTTCTAGTCCTGAGTTGGATTAGGATTGTGATATTGGAGATTTCAACATTAAAAAATAATCATTTTTCTCTAAGAGGGGAGAGTATGGGTGCTGAGGAGAGATGACTAGCTCCAGTAATAATCCTTATGTTCCCATAACATCTGTGTTCATTTTTGTTTGTAAGCAGGTACTTCAAAAAGTTCATGGAAAAGTAGAATTAAAAGATAATCTAATCTTTTAAAATAAAATAATCTTTCCATGAACTTTTTGAAATACCCTCATATATATATATATATTTGTGTGTGTGTGCATATATAAATATCTCACTGAATTATTATTATTTTTACTTGTTTGTCTTCCTTACCAGTATGACTTTAAGGGCAGGAACTGTATCTCTTATTTTTAACATTGTATTTGATATAAAATAGGCAGTCAAATGTTTTCCAAATAAATTTCATAAAATAAATTATTTGTTTTGGGAAAAAAAAATCATTTTCCTTCTAGACCAGTTTCATGGAAACTTCTATAGATATTGTTGGGAAGATCAATCCGCAGAAACCCAGCAGCTCTAACTCGAGGGCAATAGCTGGAATGCAAAACAAAATTAAAAAGAAATAGTGGATGGAGAATGGCTTTCCCTCCTACCATACCAGTCAGGAGCAAAGAGAGGACAGTGCCTTTAATTTAACTCTTTACCATTCCTGAAAAAGAAAAAGTACTTATATGTTGGATACTCTTCATAGCCCAGAAACCCTATTGGCCTGGCTTTAGTTACTGTTTCAAAGAAGAAAATAATAAGAGGTAGATATTTTGTGGGGCAGACATTTTTAAATGGTATCATAAAGGGGACATAAATAAACAAGAACATATGATTCTGACCTTCCAAAAATGAACCAAAGAGTCTATGAAATGAAACAACAAATGGCCTTGGCACAGACTTACTTTCTTAATAGGCAGAAATCAAACTGAAGATACAGGGCATCCTTCCTGGCTTCTTGGCTGCTGTGACTTCATCTAATCCCTGATCTATATTCGCCAGCTGAGGAGGCCACATAATTTTAACACCTACCCACTCATGAAGCTAGTGAACTCAATTACTCTACTTTGACTACTAAACAACCAATTCCATGGTCTTTCAGGAACCAAAGTACCAAGTAAGAGTCAATGAACAGCAACAAAAACTTCAGCGAAGTAATCCAACAACAGAAAGTACGACAGAGGGGCTCTGCTTGGCGATGGGATGAGATGGACTGGAAGGAATGTATCATCATGCAATGTGAATTTCTTGAGTTCTAAAAGGGCATCCTGGATGCATACCCCCCTCTAATTCCCTGGGACAGTGCTGTTGGTCAGGAAGCACTCTCCACGCCCCATGCCCAGCTCCCCTCCTGCCCCCCACCGCTACCTCAATGGTATACTGCTCAAAGATGCGCAGCTGCAGGAAGATGTCCAGCTTGATCTTCCGCTCATGGAACAGCTCCTCCATCTGCACCTGGGCGTCGTCTAGCTGCTGCAGGACCGACTCGATGTGGCTGATGGAGCTACTGTGGGGCGTCTTGTTGTTGGACACAGCTGAGTCCCTGTGGCAGAGCAGGGAGAGAAGGAAGGGAGGGGGAGGCCTTGCCATGTTAAAACTGACTGAGGAGGAGGGGGGCCTTCCTCACCTGAGCAAGGTGAATATGAATCAGTTGAGTTATTCAATTAACAAATATTTATCAAACTCCTACTGTGAGCTTGACACTAGGGGACCCAAAGATATATGCATCCTCTTTTGGGTTCACAACTCTGTATTTCCAATACTAGCTGCTCTCCTATTTCTCAGACAGCACTGTGAAAGGGATCAACAAAGCATAAAACATTAGAGAAATGGAACAGTTCTATGCACATGTGTAGCTTAACAGGTACAGTTTTAGTACACAGGTGTACACATATCACTATACATCGAGTGTAGACAAATTAAAGGCATAAAGAAAAAAAAAA